GAATCAAAACCTCCATTATAAGTTCCTTTCATAAATAATTTTATACTATATTCTAAATTAGCTGGCGATGGTAGTTACATAAGCTGTGAAGCAATTTCGTTGCTGTTGAGCGTTCTACATTAGCTGGGGTTGGTTTTTTTTTTGACTACATAAGATGTTTGGGTTTCTAATAGCAGAGCGTTTACTACATAAGCTGTGGAGTATGCTACATTAACAGTTGTTACTACATTACCCATTTTTTTTTACATTAGCGGCTGTAACAAGGGCCAACCAGAAGAAAATGTTATTGATCATGAGAAGAAAAATCACTCATGCTATCAAGGACTGCTTCATTGTCTAAAAATAAGATAGCCCAACCACTAAATATAACAAGAAATTTATATCCTCTCACAGATAATGACAAAAAAGTCATTTAAAAAAAAGTTATAACCCAGTCTTTTAGTCATGCCAAACAGTAACTATGGACACATTTAAGGGAATTTGGATTTTAAAGTCTTTTAATGCAGATGGTACACTAACATCTTCTCATCAATATTTTTAAAAACTGATTCAACTTACTGGTAGCCATCTTGACATAAACTCCTGTGAATTTTAAATAATCAAAAAAATTATTTAATAATTTTGAATAATAAATGATGAAGTAAATTACTGATTATAGATCATTAAGCTTTTATGACAGATACAAGGTAGTAAGGATACAATAATGATTTATATAGCATGATACATGTGCAGGAGTTAGACACTAAGAAGTATCAAACCCTTTTAGAAAAAAATCTGTTAGTACATTTTAAGTATACAGTATGAGCTGTTTTTTACAGATCTATATTAAACCCTGCATTATCTGAATATAGGTCCTACAGCTGTAAAGTTTCCATACATTATATTTTTTTTATTTTTGTGCACAAATTTCAGCTAAAAAGTTTTTTAAAACTATCCCTGTGGCCATGCAGATAAAAATTGTATTTACTTAGGCTATGAGAGTGGAACTAATTTATTGGTCAATTCAGTTGTAAACTTTGAGCGAGCTGTTAGCATGTATGCAGAGTGAGCATCTGCCTCAAGAGATAGAAATTGTGGTGCTCATTGTCTCTTGAGGCAGAACTCTTACTAATACTTTGTGTAAACTGTCATGAGAGGCAATTTGCTTAGCAAACCCACACAAAAGGCAATTTGATAAACTGGTCTTGTGTGTGCTGGGCTTAAAAGTAGCAATCATTATGGTAAGCAATCTGTAATATAAATATAGGAAATATCTAAAGTGATAAAACACCATGAGTATCCATTTTTCTCTGTAAAGTATGTGCAGCTAATCGATAGAATAGATTATATGCCTATTACTTTATTTACCATATTTGTCTGGCACACTTCTCTTTAGCAACTAATAAATGTATAATATCTTTGCAGGTGAGGGCCCTCATTATTACTAGTATCTGTCTTTATTTTTCATAAGACAATCCTTTCTTATTAATATTTACTGCATGTATCTATAAAAAATATATAAAATCTTTTAATCATTATTTGGTTTATTGGTCTGTAGTAGGCCTACATACCTTATGAATATACTTGTATAATGCTCTGACTTTCCTCAATGATATTTTGCTCAGGTAAATAATATTTTGATTCAGTATTTTCAATTTTTTCTGAATCATTATATGTTAAGCATTGGATCTAATACTAAATAACTTAAATTAATGAAATATTTACCTTAAAATTCTTTGGTTGGTTTTTCAGTGAGGTGCATATGTGAAGTGTCTCCAATCAGGAAATGGGTGTTTTTCAAGGGTTTATTGTACCTTTAGTCATGTGATTTTGGTATTTGTGTTTCTTTGTGAATGCTATCAACCAACCATGACTTTGTGAAAGCAGAGACTGAGCACTATTCAATAGTAAATTGTTATGTATTGAATACAAATTATTACAGTCAGAACTCCCTTTCATTGTCATATCTGTATAACAGTCTAGTGTTTTTTGGGTTTTTTTTTTGTACTATTGCTCTCATTTACATTATATCGATTCAACAAACAAGACCCCAATGGAAATAAGTCTTGTGGACTACCTTGCTGGATTATTTTTTGAATTTATGTTCTTGACACCGAAGAAAATGAATATACCGATCCTTTTGATCCTTCTCTTTTTCACTCTCTTTTTCATACCTTCTCTATTATCTTGTGTTCTATTCTCCACTCCTCTTTCGTCTGCCTTTTGTCCTGCCCTTTATTTCTATTGATCTCTTTCTTTCCATCTTCTCGTATTATGCTGGTCAATCAGGGGTGGCACCAGAGGGGGGCTGGGGGCTATAGCCCCCCCTGTCTGGGAAGCGTAGCCCCCCGTCGGGGAAGACGATAAATTTTGTTGGGGAACAAACAAATAAAAAAAATATTTACAAGTAATATTCGTTTAGCTACCATATTGTTTGTGTTAACTTTTCATCACAACAACAACCATAATAATAATAATAATAATAATAATAATAATAATTCAATGAGACCAATTAAAAATAACTTGCATTCTGTTATGACAAATGCTCATTTAGATAGCCTCATGATGGTTGGAATACATCGTGATAGGTGAAGCAACCTCGACCATGACAACGTGGTTGACAGATTTCATGCAAAATTTCCAAAATATAGAATTT